AACTGATTGAGTCATGGGGATGGATCCCTCATGAATGGATTAACGCTCTCCCTGGGGGAGGGGGAATTAATGAGTAAATTCTCGCTCTATTAGTTCCCGTGAGAGCTCGTTCCTTAAAAAGACCCTGGCACCTTCTCTCTCTCGCTTCCTCTCGCTTCCTCTCACCATGTGATCTGCTTATACCTACAAGCTGCCTGCCACTTTTCTGCCATGAGTAGAAGCAGCCTGAGGCCCATGCCAGATGCAGCTGTCCCAGAATTGTAAGTCAAATAAACCTCTTTCCTTTATAAATTACCCAGTCTTGGGTATTTCTGTTATAGCAACACAAAACGGACTAAAACAATGTGCAAGACTAAATGTTCCCTCACTGGGAGCTACCCCTTTAATTGAATACTTATAGATAGAGAAATTATAAAAGCCAAATCCCAGCAGAAGGCAGGGCTGTTGTTCACTTTCCAGAGGCAGCCTGCACTTCACTGGCTGAGGTGTGTATACTTTACTTTGTATCAAACTTACTTTCAGGAGGGGCTGTTCATTCTCTTGAGCCAGCCTGCACTTTGTACTGAAATTTAAGTGTGTTTTTCTTGCTTTTGTGTTAGACTTGATGTCCGTACTGAACTTATTTTTGTGTTAAACTTGGTTTGTGTCCTGCTCAGTCTCTGGAGCCTGCCACACTCTCTCTGTGGGACGTGTATTTATCTTTTATATTAAACTTGTTCTCACTGTCTACTGTGACTCTGCCCTTGAATTCCTTCCTGTGGGCGTATCAAGCACCTGATAAGAGGACTGGGTGGGTAGAGGCTGGCTATCGGCCACCTGGACCCTACCTCTGATATCAATGGCATATTCAAGTGATATTGCACCATTTCTTGCACAGTACAAAAATCTTGCATTTCTTCTTCCCTGGACTTTGCATTATTGTTATGTAGTTTACTTATACATATATGTTATAAATTTCATACTACATTGTTGTTATTTTTGTTTAAACAGTCAATTCTCTTTTAAAGAGATTTAAATACTAAGAAAAAAATCTTATATCTATCTCCATGTAGTTACCATTATCTATACTCTTCATTCTTTTATGTAGATTAGGATTTTCATCTTGCATCATGTCCTGCCTTAAAGATGTCCTTTAATGTTTCTTGTAGTATAGGTAGGTTGATAATGGATTCTTTCAGATTTTGTATGTTATAAAAAAGTCCTCACTTTGCCTCCATTTTTAAAAGATATCTATGGTAGGTATAGAATTCTAAGTTGATTGTTTGTTTTTCCTTTCAGTACTTTAAAGATGTTGCTTTACCCTCTTTTTGCTTTCATTGTTCTCAACAAGAAATTTGTTTTCATTCTTACTTTCATCCCTTGGTAGGTACCATGCCGTTTTTCTCTGGCAAGCTTTCTTCTGTCACTGTCTTTGAGTAATTTGATTATGATGGGCCTGTGTATAGTTTACTTCACGTTTCTTCTGCTTGGGGTTCCTTGCGTTTCTTGGATTTGTGAGTTTATAGTTTTTCTTCAATTTGGAAATATGTTTCAGTAATTATTCAAATATTTTTTCTGACCCTCCCACCCCCCACTTTTTAGCGACTCCAATTGCACCTATACTAAGAAGCTTGAAGTTGCCCTACAGTTCAGTGATTCTCTGTTAATTTTTAAAATTTGTTATTTCTGTTTCATTTTGGATAGTTTATTTTATTACGTGTTCAAGTTCACTAATCCTTTCTTCTGTAACGTCTAATCTGCCATTAATCCCACCCAGTGCATTTTTCATTTGGGGCATTGTAGTTCTTATCTCTAGAAGTTCAATTTCATTCTTTTCATATTTTCCATGTCTCCACTTAACTTTTTGAACATAAAGAATACAATTATAGTAACTGTTTTTTAATGTTCTGGTGTGGTGATTTTAACATCTGTGTCAGTACTGGGTGGGTTTCAATGGATTTTTTTTTTTTTTCTTACTATGGCTCATATTTTCCTACTTCTTTGCATGCCTGGTAATTGGATGCCAAACATTGTGAATTTTACCTTGTTTGGTATTTTTGTGTTTCTATAAATATTTTTGGGCTTTTGGGGGGAGAGGTGCTACAATTAAATTACATGGAAATAGTTTGATCCTTTCAGGTCTTGTCTTTAAGATTTGTTAGGCAGTACCAGAGCAATGCTCTACCAATAGCTAATTTTTCTCCTCTACTGAGGCAATACCCTTCAGATTGGCTGTCTAATGCTCCATGAATCATGAGGTTTTCCATTCTGGCCAATGGCATTAGGCACTATTCCTGGCTCTCTGTGAGTACCAGGCACTACACTTTTCCCTCTAATCTTTTTCCATTGGGTCTGTCTTTAAGTTGCAGACAGGATTTTCTGTTTTGTATTTCCCAAGGTCTAGAACATTGCTTTCAAATTTTGAGTGATCAATATCCTCCTTAGAATATGGTAAAGAAGAGGGTTCATTCTGGGCTAAGTCTCCCTCCTTTGTTGTTTCACAGCAGACTGTAAGTTCTCCATCACAGAGCTTATTACATTGCCTTGAAATTGCGTGTTTGATCAACCTTGTAAGTGCAGAGACTGAGTCAGTCTTATTCAATGCCACTTCCTCAGTACTGAACACAGTAGGAACGTAACAAGTATTTGTGAAATACTAATTCTGAATTCATTTCACTTTCAAACAACTTGTTGAAAAAAAAAAATGAGTCTTTCAACAAGTCCCAGGGCTACAGGCCTCTAGAACAGCAATTTTAAATAGTAGATCAGTCCTCTAAAGTTCACCTCATGTGAAGTTATAGCACCATCCGTATGGGTAGGGTTGGGCCTAGACCCTTACGGAGCTGATTTCATATAAAGCCAACTTATCCAGATCATGATGTGCAGTGTATATGGGGAGGCTTCAAACTAGTGTTTCTGTTGAGGGAGGCCTAACAATAACTTGGGCATATCTGAATTCTGGGCAGAACTTTCCTTCCTTCCACATATATTTTAATGCCTACTGATGCCTGGCACTGGACCAGAAAAGCTTTATTGCAGGACATGCTGTTCACATGCTATTCTGTGTTATGCTCCAGGAGGCACCATTCTCATTTGATATCATGTATATCCAGACAGTCGTACCAGAGTCCCCAATCCCTGCCTGCTATGTAAAGATCAGTAAAAGGCATATCCATTGTACATTTCTTTGGACTATCTGGCCCATGTACATCTTTCTAACAAACCCTAACCATGCTCTAAATTAAATTCAACAGACATCTTAAAATGTCTGCTCCCTGTCAAGCCTGGTGTTACCACTGGATAAGTCCTTTGACAACAGGAGCAACACCTCCAGGGTGGCCTGAGAATGGGCCCTCACAGTATTCAGTTTCTGATCACTGGGCTCTCCCTCTTTAAGTATCTTTCTCTCTAACTTCTGACATCACATTCATAGTGCAGCCCATTTTATGCCCTGAAAATAAACAAAGGTGAGAGGGGAAAAAAAATGAGAATAGTGTGGGAAGTGAGCTCATTTTATTAATTGATTCATACATTCATTCATCTTTTCAATATTTATTGAGCACCTACTATGCATCAGACACCATGCTGAATGTTGGTAGTAGAAAGACTAGCAGACACAGTCTTTGTTCTTGAGGAATTCACAGTCCAGTGGGGGAGGTAGGTAGGTGAATGAGTAATTACAACAATGTGAATAATACCTGCTAAGGAAGAGGAATGTATAGGGGCAATATCTAATTTTTTGAGAAGCCATAATTTCTTTGACAGAAATGGTGATTATCCTCCACAGTTTCAAACATGATTTGTACATGGTGAGCACTCAGTAAAGAATCAAAAAGGCCTGGATTCTGTTTGTAGCTCTGTCTTTGAAGCTATGTGTCCTTGGTCAGTCATTTCATTTTTCTGAGCCTGTTTCCTTATCTGTAAAGTATAACTGATAATACCAGACCTGCCTTCCTCACTTATTGTAAGGATTAATGGTCATCAGGATGACTTTTAAATTGGAAAGATCTCTACAAAATAAATTACACAATCATGAGACATTCTTAAATATTTGTTGAATTTTAAAATACAAGTCATTCAGCACTTACATGAAATGCTGAACGACTTCACATAAGTGCTTTAATAAAGAGAGCAAGAGAGAAAACTTAAATAACCAGCAGGTAACAGCCCTGTACATGGTCGCCACTTTCACAGCTCACAAAGCAGGTCTGGCTTGACTTTTTCCTCAGTCCAAAGGATATTTGCTGTTATCCTCATTTTACAAATGAGGGAAGTGGGCGCCAAAGAATCTGTACGAAAACAGAAGCTCTTCAGAATCCAGGCTTGGGCCACCTCCCAAGGTCCTACGACGAAATTCGAAAAGGACCAAAGCCCCAGCCCTCCGTAAGAGATTCCGCTGGAAGCCCCGCCTCCCCGGAACGATCCAGGCTTGGGCCACCTCCCAAGGTCCTACGACGAAATTCGAAAGGACCAAAGCCCCAGCCCTCCGTAAGAGATTCCGCTGGAAGCCCCGCCTCCCCGGAACGGCAGGGGCTGGACGAGGCTTCGACTCCGCCCCATGACGCATTCTGCCCCACCCCCAACCCTCTACCTCTCGCGGGAACTCTCGGGAGGACGGACGGGATCAGGTCCTATCATGGCGACGGAAGAGGCGGATGTGGATGTCGAAGTGGACGAAGTGGCAGCGGCGGCGGGACAGCCAGGGTGAGGCTTAGAGACCGGTTCTTGCCGAGGCGGGGAGGAACGCGGATGCGAGGAGAGGGGCTCTGGAGAGGCTGCGGGTCGGGCAAGGGACAGGAGAGAAGAAGAGTATCCGTTGGGCCACGGTCTCCTGTCGGCCAGGGAGGCGCCGCTCGGTCCCGCCCGCCGGCTTGTCGTGAGCCTAGCGGGCGGGTACCTACCTGGGCCTAGGACGACTCTTTCACTTTTTACCCGGATGCTGTGAAGGCGCCGATTTCTCCCAGCACGGTGCACTTGCTTCAGCAATTAGATTCCTCTTCCGTTCGCTCGACCTCAGAATCTCCCCAGAATCTGTGTGACAGTAACTAGAAGACGGGCAGCTGTTGGACGGGACCCGAACTCAGGGACCGTTGTTACATCGCTCGCAAGCCGTGTGACCTGGGGCGAGTCGTTTCATCCATTCGTCCACGCAGGGATAGTTGTGAAAAGTTATCCGAGAGGCAGCTTAACTCGAAGGATAGGAACCAGATTTTAGAGTTGGACAGTTCTGGGGTTTTCTTCTGCATTTGCTGACCCTATTAATTAATAGCAGTGTGTGTGATCTTGGGCAAGACACTTCTCTGAGCCTCAGACCAGTCCTGTGTAGACTGAGAATCATGATATGTACCTCCTAAGGTTGTGAGGATCAAATGAAATAATTATGTGATGTGCTTTAGCATACAGTAAGTGTTCTCTAAATGTGTTTTTACCATCCCGTTATCCACAGGGAGGGTATTCTGAGGACCCAGTGAGGAATCACTGTTCAATACCAATTCATGCAGAACAGGTTTGAAACAGAACCTCCTTTGACTCCTTGCTTTCCGAGTAAGAAAGGAGTCTCCTTTTAATCTGGGAGAGGCCTACACTGGCCAGGAATCAGAAGAGCTGAGTTCTAAAGGCAGCCAGTTATGTTCCTTATAATTCTGAACAGCTTCATTAGAACTGTTATTAGGTTGAACCATATGCAATTGCCAATATTAGACCAGTTTTAACCTATGTACTGGCAGTTTCATGTAGATCAGTCTGATATGAGGGCCTCTGTGAGTTGGGCAGAAGAGTACTAACCCTACCCAAGAGGCACTAAGATAGTGTGTTTAAAAGTGTCTTGTGGGGCCGGCCCGGTGGCGCACTCGGTAGAGTGCGGTGCTTGGGAGTGTGGCGGCGCTCCCGCTGAGAGTTCGGATCCCATATACAGACCAGTCCGCTCACTGGTTGAGCACGGTGCGGGCGCGACACCGAGGGTTGCGATCCCGTTGCTGGTCGCGAAAAAAAGACAAAAAGGCAAAGAAAAAAAAAAAAGTGTCTTGTGAACTCTAAAGCACTGTAAAAATGAAGAGTTATTAAACTCATATAGTCATTCTCCCTCAAATCTTCATGCAAAGCATTCCAAAGCTATGCAGATGAGTAAGGAGCCTTTAATAACAATAATTGTTCACATTTGTGTAGTATTTAAATCTTGACCAAATGCTTTTGTGTGTTTATTTTTCACAATAAGTCAGTGAGATAAGTGGGCAAGGATACTTATCTGCAGTCTAGAAAGAAATGAATTGCCATTGAAAACACTAAAGATCATCCAAGGGCATTGGCTCCATGCCTGTTTCATAGGTTTATCTTAATTTTTCTGATTGTTTATGATTTTTCTTTCTTTTCTCCCTTTCTTTCTTTTCTCTTTCTTCTATTTTTCTTGAGCCTTAGGTCTACTAGCCTGCAGCACTTGTGGTGATCTTAGTCTCATCCAAGCAGGATTACAAAGATTATTGTTTCCTCAAGGTCAGAGCCATTGCCTTACACAACTCCAAGGAGCATCATTAATATATTATATTCTTGTGAATGGCGCCCGTGGTGTTGGGGCTCCAGTCATATGGAATTTAGTGTGAGTGGTGCCCCCTGAAGTGTGTAATTACAGCTGATGATAGCAAATGCAGAACCCTTGAGGATTAATATAAAACACATTGTAAGCACTTGCTAAGTGCCAAGTACCAAACTTAGAAGATGGCATTGAAACTTTCTGGTTTCTTTTCTGCTTCTCTACCATTTCTTCCCATCCTCCTTTTCTTCTGCTTGTTCTTTTTTTTTTTTTTCCTTTTTGTCTTTTTTCGTGACCGGCAACGGATCGCAACCCTCAGTGTTGCGCCCGTACCGGACCCGGACCGGCAACGGGATCGCAACCCTCGGTGTTGCGTCCGCACCTCGCTCAGCCAGTGAGCGGCCGATCTGTATGTGGGATCCGAACCCTCGGCGGGAGCGCCGCCGCGCTCCCAAGTGGCGCACTGTAGCAGTGCGCCACCGGGCTGGCCCCTGCTTGTTCTTTAAATCATGGTATTACAAGGGGTTTTGTCATAGCACTTCTATTCACTGACCTCACAGTCCCTGGTGATTACCTTCTCTAAAGATTTCAATTTCTGTTAAGATAAACAATGTAAAATTTTGCTAATATTCAACCATTTTTGCCATTTTCTTATTAGTCAGCCTAATACATGCCGATGTTTCCCAAATCTGTCACCAACCCAAATCTCTTTCTTGAGCTTCAGGTTCATTTATCCAGTTCTCTGAATCTACGTGCACTTGGACATCTCACAAACACCTCAGTCTTAGCTTATACATTTTTTCCACCAAACCTGCCTCACAGTGTTCCCTAGTTCAGTAAGTGGCACCGACATCCCCCCATTTACCCAAAGCACAGTCCTAAATTTTATCCCTTTTCCTTATCTTCTTTTCACTCCCCCTTTCTATCAGTTACTAAGAGCTTGTTGATTCTGTCTATATACCTTCTCAAAAGTATTCCTGCTTCCTGTTAACACTACTTGTTCCCTGGGTATGTTACTGTCACCTTTCTCTAATATTTTTATAATCACTCTTAACTGCTTCTTGTCTCCTTGATCCTCTTCTATTTTTTCTTGTAATTAGGTGATTATTACTTATATCCAAATCTGGTCATGTTATTCCCTTCAGTCCCCAGTTGGTTTTATGATAAAATCCTCATTCCTTAACTACTAGAGACCTCTGTGATTCTTGTCCCACCTATCTTGTTCATTCAGTCATTCAACAAATATTGATTGAGTACTTTCCACATGCCACGCCCTTGGTATATAGCAGTTATCAAAACCAAGTCCCTGCTGTCCTAGAACTTACATTCTTGTTGGATGAGACAGGCAGTAAACCATATAATATGTGTGTATTTGTGTGTGTGTGTGTGTGTATGAGAGAGAGAGAGAGAGAGAGAGAGAAATGGAGACGAGTGGAGAAAGATAAAGAAGGAAAGGTGAAATGAGAGAGAGAGAGAGAGAGAGAAATGGAGACGAGTGGAGAAAGATAAAGAAGGAAAGGTGAATGGCTTGTCAGCTTTATTTCTTACAGTTACGCAGGAAAAAAAGGGCAGGCTCAGATTTCTGGCTTGGACAACTAGAGAGATGGAGGTACCACTGACTAAGATAGGGAACAATTGGAAGAGTAGCAGATTTGGGGGGAAAGGTGATTTTGGCTTAAACATGTTAATTTGTGGTACTTATGGAGATTCAGGTAGGTATCCAGATGCATACCCCAGAGTATGGATGTTGCTAATCCTTCTTCTTGAGGGATATTATGTGAAAGGATTTCTTCATTGAACTTGAAGTGATAATACTCCTACCTCCTGCCCTCTTGGAGACCTAGTTGTTTGAGCAAAGGTTTCCTTCTGCTCATACAAGTCTCAGAATCTTTATTTAGCCTTCTTTGTAGACTCTTCCAGGTCAGAGTTGACACTAAAGTTTAAAACTACTTGCCATCAACAGTTGAGAGAAATTATTGTTTTAGTTCATTGTAGAGAATAGCACATTAGCCCTACAATTTATTATAACTACCATAGGGCTAATTAAAGGATTTCAAATGTATAAACAACAGTTAGGTTTTTGCGGTCTTAGAAGAACAAAATTCTTACCACTAGACTAAGTCTGGAAAAAGTAAAAAACTTAATTGGGAAACCTTTTAACTTCAAGACATACAAAAGTAAAATATATTTAATTATATCATAGATTGGGCCCCCCAAAACTTACCTATTCAGACTTTTTGCATATGAGGTGAACAATGTGACTTACTAGAGTCTTATTAGACTCAGGTAGACTATTAGAGTTCTTATTAGTTCAGTGAAAGGACTGAGAGGATTAACAAAGTTTTATTTCCCCATGGACATAGAAAAGCCCCCAAATAACCCAATAAATTTTTAAAATTATGTGAGTTATTAAAATGTCACCTTTTTCATTTTTTTTTTTTTTTTTTACTGAAACATAATTGATTATACCTATTTGTGGAGTGTAGAGTTGACTATCATTATTTGTCTACAATATATGATGATCAAAACAGGATAGTTGGCATATTCATTATTACAAAACATATTCATTCTTTGTGTCCATTAACCAATTTCTCTCTAGCCCTCCTCCACCTCCCCCTTTCCTCCCTGTAATAACCACAGTTCTGTTCTCTCCTTCTGAAAGTTCAGCGTATTATTTCCTTCCTCCCTCCCTTCCTTGTTTCCTCTTTCCTCTCATTTATGAGTGAGGACATGGGGTATTTCTCCTGTGCCTGGCTTATTTCACTTAACATAGTTTTCTCCAAGGTCATAGGTGCTGCTGCAAATAGCAGAATTCCATTCATTTTTATTCTGAGTAGTCCGTTATGTATATATTCCACATCTTTTTTTTATCAAAATGTCATTTTTTAAAAAATCTCTTTACTGTACTGTCCTTTTTGAGGATTTTCTGTTTTGGTTCTTTACTAGTTTTTTTCATTTTGAGGATGATAGTGGTTTTTATGATTTAGATATAACAGAAAGATTTAATTACAGAGTTGAATTTCTGGATTCATATGGATACTCATCAGTAGAAACTGAAGTTGTTGATTCATGGCTACAGATCATGTTGTGGATGCTGCTTTGGGGTATTTTTTTCATCGTGAAGTTGCTTATTCTTGGGAAACAAAAGAAGTGAATAGACTTGATGCTTAGCAGTTGAAATAGGGTAGCTTAAAGTCAGTATGTATTTCACAAGCCCAAGAGGAAGAGCAGGCATTTCTGCAATGTTAAATCTGTCTGTAAAGGGGAGAGAGGAACTAAATATTCACTTAACATCTACAACCAGTCACTGTGCGATGTGAGTTACATCTATTAAGTGGTATATCACTTTTATAACCATTTTCTTAATTATTACAGAAGTGATGAAAATACAGCATCGGTTTTACACCAAGATCACTATCTTGATTCATCATGGAGAACTGAGAATGGCTTTATTGTAAGTATTTTATGGAAATATCAGATGCTTTAATCTGTTACTCATTGCCCAGAGTACCTCTTTTTTTTTTTTTTACTTATGCTATTTCTAAACAGTCACAGAGGTAATATGTTGAAATTTTTTTCTTACTTTTAAAATAGAAGAAACCTCTTCTTTCTTTTGACTTTGAAAAATGGCATATTGAGAAACAGCTTTGGAGCCAGGTAAATTTAGGTACAAATCCTTGTTCCACTACTTCTCAGATTTATGAACCTCAGTTTCTTCGTTTAGAAAAATGGGGATTATCGGGCCGGCCCGGTGGCGCACTGGAGAGTGCGCCGCTTGGGAGTGCGGCGGCGCTCCCGCCGAGGGTTCGGATCCCATGTGGCGACCGGTTCCCGCTCACTGGCTGAGTGCGGTGCGGGTGCAACACTGAGGGTTGCGATCCCGTTGCCAGTCCCTGGTGCGGGCGCGACACTGAGGGTTGCGGTCCCGTTACCGGTCAGTAAAAAAAGAAAAATGGGGATTATCACAGAGCTCATTTTTTCATTTAGCAGTTATTTACTGAGTACTTAACTGTGTGCCAGACAATAAACCAGGTTTGGGGGATACAACCATAATGAAGGCAGACATGGTCCTGCTATCAAGGAGCTTATATTCTGAAAGTGAATCAGATTTATCATCTGATAAATCATCTTCATCCATCATTTATGAAGGAAATAAGCAAGATGCTGACTGAGAATACCAGGGTGCAGAGCCTACTTTAGATAAAGTTGTCAGTGAGAGAAACTTAGGTGGTAAGATTTAGGTCAAAAAGTAATGAACAGAAAGGATAGATACATGAAGAGTTGAGAAGAAAATTCTAGATGAAGGAACAACAAGCACAAAAGCTCTGGTTGAAGGCCAATGTCTAGAATATAGTGGAAAAGGGAGGAGTGATAGCATGCGACAAGGTTGGAGAGACAGGCTAGAATCCTGTCATCCAGGGCTTGTGGGTTAGATTATGCTCAAGGGTTTTAATTTTATTGTAAGCAAACTGGGACATCGTTGATGTATTTCATACAGATTTTATACAGTTTATACAGATGAGTAAGTTCATTTTTGTAAAAATTCATTTTGGGTGCTGTGATGAAGGTTAGATTGGAGGGAAGCAAGCATGGAATCAAAGGGACCAGTTAGGAAACATTTGCAGTAATGTAAGCATGATTTTTTTGGTGGTGGCTTGGCAACAGGTGGTAGCAGAAGAGATTGAAGTGGACACATTTTTTTTTTTTTTTTTTTTTTTTTAAAGATGACCGGTAAGGGGATCTCAACCCTTGGCTTGGTGTTGTCAGCACCACGCTCAGCCAGTGAGCAAACCGGCCATCCCTATATAGGATCCGAACCCGCGGCCTTGGTGTTATCAGCACCGCACTCTACCGAGTGAGCCACGGGCCGGCCTAAGTGGACACATTTGAATTATATTTTGGAGGTAGAAGTGGTTGGTAGATTGGATATGGGGCTTGAGGGGAAAAAAATCCACAATGATTCTTGGGTTTCTAGATGGAGTAACTTAGTGACTAGAAATGCCTTTATTACAAAGTTGCAAAGACAGAGAAAGAAGGAGGTGGAGATATGTGATGATGAGTTCTGTTTTCAGTATGTTGAGTTTGAGAAACCAATTAGATACCTAAGTGGAAATCTAGAGTGGGAAGAGTTGGATGTAATAATCTAGAGCTTGGAGAAGAGATATGAGCTGAACATTTTTAACTTTTGAGAGTTGTTAACAGTTGCTAACAGAGAGACTGGCTGAGGGAAAAAAGAGTTGGGAGTTTTGAAAATAGGTCTAGTAAAATTCTTGATGCCTGATAAATAGTTCCTTGTACATGATAGCCATTATTACATCATCATGGGTAGGGGCATGAGCCCTCGTGTCCAACAGACTTGGGTGTGAGATCTGTGCTATTCTGGTAAAAATGCTAGCAGGGCTATGGAGCATCTGAAGTGTTAATGCCTATCGCATAGTGTTTTGATGGGAATCAAAGATGTCTGTGTGCTAAGGTCCAACAGACTTGGGTGTGAGATCTGTGCTATTCTGGTAAAAATGCTAGCAGGGCTATGGAGCAGCTGAAGTGTTAATGCCTATCGCATAGTGTTTTGATGGGAATCAAAGATGTCTGTGTGCTAAGTAAATGGTAGCTATTATTAGCTGTAATCATCATATTATGTATTTTACTTAAAATGTAGAAGATAATTTCAAAAAGCAGTAAATAAAAAGAAAAATATATTCTTTTCTTTTTTAATAGCCTTGGACTCTGGATAGCACCATCAGTGAAGAAAACAGAGCTGTCATTGAGAAAATGTTGTTGGAAGAAGAGTATCCTTTAATGATTATGAGGAAAGTAAAGGTTTCAGGGTTAAAAATCTAAAAATGCAAAAATTATGAGAGGTTACTGTTAATTATTAGATGGATTTTATTAAGCCCCAGACTACTATTATATAATATCATGTTACCTGTCTGTGCCCAAAAAAGCAGCATTTTATTTTTCAGGTTCTGTTTTACTGCTAAGTCTGAGATCCGCCTCAATATTTTTGAATGTCTGTTGTCAGCCAACTCTTTAGGGTATCTGAATATTGAGTAGAAATTATAAAATATTTAAGCCAGTTAGAACCTTAAGTCCAAGCTTCCATTTTCAAAGTTATATAAGCTGAAAAGCAGAAATGTGAATTTGTCTAAGGACATTGAGTTAGAATGTGTAAAAGTTCTTCTCATGTCTTACTTACATTTTACAGGTGTTGTATGGGAGGAATCTAAGTAAAAAGCACAAACCAGATACTATAGGATGGGAAATTTTTTTCCAAGAAATTGTGAGTCCTTATTCATGGTTCAGCCACTGTCTTCTTGTCCTTTTTTCTTCTATGTGTGATGTAGGGATATTTTACATTCTTTGTTTTTGTGCTTTTTGAAATCCAGTGTGTATTTTGTACTTACAGTACATGTCAGTTTATGCTAGCCATGTTTAAAGTGCTCAAAAGTCACACATATGGCTAGCGGCCACCTTATTGAATAGTGCAATTCTAGATTAATGAACTCTTAAGTAGTCGCTGGTTCACTTCCAGATATGGAAACAAACAATAATGAGAGTATGAGTCATATGTAAGCATTTAGAAAACGGGGATAATGTTTGTAATATCTTTGTCCTCAACACCTGAGTACCTAGCATAGTCCCTGATATATGCAGTATATAATTAATAAATATTTGTTAAATGAATAATATCTTAGGCTAATCTATAATAGTATTGCAGTATCAAGAACTTTGAGAGGGAGGCTCCCTGGTAGATTTGACCTAAGCGTTTGTTATTTTTATTAGGGTGGAGAAGAACCCTGAATTATTCTCTTTTACCTTTAGAAATATGGAAACAAATACTCCCAAATTACCTTGGACAACCTATCAAATTCATCTATTATATTCCTTCTATGTTTTTTTAAAAAAAGTTTTACATATTGGGGATAATTATTCTCTTAGCCACTTCTCATAGTGAAGATAAGAGAAACTAGCATTTATGTAGCACAAATTTTGTGTGGGCACTGTGTTGTGTGATTTTACATGCAGTTAATCCATATAACAACCCTGTGAGATATAAACATTTTTATTGTAATTTTTATAGACCTGAGAAGGGCTTTGAGAGAAATTGATCTAGCTTGAATTCAAGAGTGACTTTCACGAGTCTATGAGTGCCTGCTTATATAAGTCGCATAAAAATTATATGACTTAAACATTGTTTAAAACATTTTCTTAATAATTGCACAGGTATTATTTATCTAAAAAACCACTTCCAGAAAAATTCTGGCTTAATCAAAAGGAAGATGATAAAAAATACATGAAGAGGTAAAATCAATTTATAGTGCTTTTAAAAGTCTGAATTGCATTTTTAGAAACTTCACAAGCTTCCTTATTTTCTTTTTTCATGTGGTGCAGTCTGCAGAAAACAGCAAAAATCATGTATGTACTTATGTTTTATATTTCTTAAAACCTTTTTGATTAGTTAAAATCTATGAGAATTAAAAATTATAAATTAAAAAACATTATAGTTGGCCTGTGGGAAAGCCCTTTTGATCTTGGGTTATATAAAAACATAAAGTAAATATAAAAACAAAATTTTTTGTATAAATGTTGGAATGCTACAGGTATAATTTTGTGATGTTATTTATTTGCCAGAATTTTTTTATGACCCAACACAGGGAATTCCATCAAATTATGGAGAAAATGGTTTTCCTAATCATTAGGGGGGAAATTTTAAGAAGCTGCTGTCTAATATATTAGGAATTGACTTGATATCTGTTACTTTGCCAGTTAATTTTTTATTATTTTCAACAAAAATTTAATTTGGATTTGTGGCTTTCAAATATTATCTATAGAAATTACTACTTTATAAATATTCTTTTACTGTACTTGAAAAAAAATCTGACATTAGCATTTATATATAAACTTGCAAGTTTATGGAACTTTAAATTGTGGATTTACGTATTTGCAATTGCCCAGGAGCTTGAGCATTGAGCAATGTTTGGTTTTTTTAATTATGCTGAATAAACAACAACAACAAAATGATATTAACAGAACGATTAATGGCTTGCTGAAATAGTGAGCTTCATCACTATTTTGTTTTTAATTTCTTAAGATACTGAATTTTAAAAACAATAAATATAATGCCATAGTTTTTTTTACTTTTTTTTCTTGGTCAGTATTACATGGATTTACATGGAAGAATCAAAGAGATAATATTTTTGGAACAAGTTTAAACTCATATACGTTTCAGGATTTGGGAATGTATTAACGCTTGCTGCTTTGTATCCATTCTAGGGACTCCTATTTGTTATCACTTTGACTTCCTTTGATGTCTTTTAGTGTTATCCTCACTCAGACCCAAGGATTATGTCTTTGGGGGCTGCTATCATCCTGAGCTAAAGATACATGACAGGGTAAATCTCTCCCCCCAGGTAGAGGCTGCAGCCTTCTTTTTTTGTTTTTTGTTTTGAATTCTTAGACTCAAAGTATTGAATTTAACCCATGGCTGTCTATAACCTTTAGCTGTATAAATATGGAATGTTCCATTTCAGAAATTTTTTTGCAATTCCTTTTTTTCCCCTCAGGGTACACTCTCCTACAAAACCAGCCAGTTACTCAGTAAAGTGGACGATAGAAGAAAAAGAGCTGTTTGAACAAGGGCTGGTAAATAGAGCAATTTTTAATTCATAGTAAAATGATTCTAGAAGCAAATATTAATAGAGTTATAAGATTAAATTAATTCATAGAGTGTTTAATTATAATTATAACACCTTTAGTCTTTCTGTAGTTAGGGTAATGGTGTTTGTAGTGTAGTACAAGAGGATTCCTTTTAACTTATAGCTAAGGTACTAAAGTACTGAAATAGATTTGGATCATTATTTCAGATAGCTTTTACACCATTTTTTTGGTATTAATAAAATAAAAGAAATTAAGCTGTATCTGTATGCATGACACCAACTACCTGGATTAAAAGGCAAAAATTAAGTTGCTTGATATATTCTTTCAGTACAAAACTTGTGTGTTTGAAACTGTCTGGGTGATCAGCTGAGTTCTTTTTTATTCAGATATTTGGCATTGTATACATAGTTTAAATATTTCAGTGAATGTAACGGAAGACCAGAAACATTTCTTTTGTATGAATGTTTCACTGAGATCCATTTAAGTGTCCACACATTAACGTAATGGAAAAAATATGTACTCAGGTTTCTAATTCTGAAAATACTCCTTAATATGAAGAAAGCTTTAACAAAGTACTTAGGAATTAAAAATTTTTTTTTACTGTCAAGAATAGGTTATATCTCTTACTTTAAGGGACTGTTACCCAGTATTGTACTAATAAATTTTGAAATAGTGAGTTTATATATTACATGTATAGAATATTTATATAATGTTTATGTAAGATTCATTAATGCTAATTGAAATAATGTTAATGTTTCTACTGATGATGGGAAATAAAATGCGTTTGTATTTTTCTAGGTAGTTAACACCACGAGTATATACTCTTATGATATTCTTATATAAATACAACTGTCTTGAGGTTTTTTTATCTATTCAAGGTTTTTTCCTATACTGGTAGTGTTTTTTATATTGGTATTTGTCTGTTGTATCATTTATATAACCTAACTTTCATTAACCAGTCATTTAATTAAGATTACTGACACCTTTGTGTTTAATCCCTTATGAAAGACCAGATATGTATATGCACACATATGCAAATGTGTTGTGAACTTAAGTTTCATTTTTAGGTTGTTATTGTTGACATTGGTGGTAGTTATGGGGACTACATTTACATAGTTCAGAAATCAAAACGTACCTAAAGTTATAGGTTGATTAGTCTTCCTCATTCCTGTCTCAACCTTTAGTTCTCTTTTCCTGAGGAAATCAGTATGATCTTTTTGTATATCCTTCCAGAGATACTTTGTCTGAATAAGTGCAAATATGTATTTATTTATTTATATAGAGATACATAGAAATCTATCTATATACATTAAAAGATATTTTAAACTTAGAATGTTTTCCTACACAGAAAGTCATGGAACTATGGGTTGTATTCCTAGCCTTTTTAACCTATTGATATAGTTTGCTTGCACACTGAATTCTCTCACTCTTGGGAGAAGGGAATTATATGGTACTAAATGATGAAGGAAGATTTTTCCTTCCCTTTTTTGAACATAGGACTATCCCTTTGCTCTGTTTTGAAATTGGTAAATTGTCCTCTTTGCTTTTCTTGTTAATGTCCCCTTCCCAATTTTCTTAGTGTCCAGGCTCCTACTGTCCCAATTGATCACACTTTATCCAGATCTCTCCTGTCTCCAAAAGTATTCCATGCTACCAAGTTATCTATTTGCATTCATTGCGCAATAAAGATAACTAATTCTTCAGTAAGTTATCTCAGCTAGGTGTTAGTTAAGAGCAATCTTAAATAATTAATTTATACTTACTAATAATTTTCCCAGAAGTACTTTGAATTTTAAGAAATTGCTCATATGGCAGATTTTCTAATGAATATCAGAAATAAGTGTATAAATTAAGGTTTTCTGTCATTTACATTAGATCTTTGAAGATGATTTGCTACCATAAGGCATGACTGTCTGGCCTGTAAATCTGAGCCTGGGGTCAGCTTCCCTGAGTTGTGGCTAGTCTTTTGTTTTTCATAGTTTTAAGAACTCTCAAAAATTAGAATTGTTCAGATACCTGGGGAAGTAGAGAGTAATCCTGTGTTAGAGATATTGTAAAGAAGATTTATGTATTAAATGATAGTTAGACTAATACCTAAAAATCCCTTTAGCTCTAAAATTGTACATCTTTTTTTCTGTACTTCAGAACACTTGAGAGCTCTCTCAAGTTCTGTTTTTTCCCACCACAGCTTCAGTGTTAGGAGGTGCACAGCCTTTGACACTAGAGTTGTATAGGGAGGTATTGATTGCAGGTCTGCTTTATTTGTGATTCAATCTCCTCAGTCCATTTACTGTGATGTCTATATAGAGTATCTGTTATAGACAATAGTGAATATTGCAAAATATGGAACCTGGGTAAAAAAAATATTACTTTGTAACTAGCGCAGAACATGTTCAGTTGATCCTGTAAAAGGAAAATGTAACCTGCTTCCCTTTCAGGCACTTATTTTTTTTAAAAAGTTATCTTAGATTTGAAAGATCATAATGTGCAATATGAATTCAAAAAGAAAGGTAGTAGAAGTGATGGGTCTTCATTTAGATTGCTATAAAAAGTATTAATAATTTATTTTGGTTAGTTTTCAGAAGTTCAGTTTATAAAAGAAGAATGTGGGCTCTTAAGAGCATAGTCTATATAGGAGGCTTCATTATGTGCTTTTGAAAATAAATAAAGATGGGTTCTTTGAGTTGTATTTTTTTTCAATGTGGCAGTTGCTTGGAATATTAATAAGTAAGTTAAAAACAATATTTTTCCATTTTGATAACGAAGGCTAAATTTGGCCGAAGGTGGACCAAAATTGCAAAACTAATTGGAAGTCGCACTGTTTTACAAGTGAAGAGTTATGCTAGACAGTACTTTAAAAATAAGGTAAGCAGAATATAAATATCCTAGTTAATGATGATAATATTTCGAATAAACAAAATTACTAAGCAATATTTCTTTAATTCAGGCATTAAAGTCTATCGTTAAAAGTTTTTATAGTGTAAGTATTTTATAGTACCCATGAAGTACTATACAGATGTTTATCTTTAAAACCTAGACCATATCTTCAGTGTTTTCAGAGCTGTAGTTAAATAGGTATTGTGTTATTCCACTTAATTTCATACAGTTAAATAGAAGAACAAAGAATTAATTGCTCAGAAACACCCTCCAAAGCAAATACTATTCCAAAGAGAAAACCTTAGAGGTCTCATCTTATTGCTTCCTCTGGAAAATATCTTTTCTTTTTTAAATACTAGCATTACGGAAACTTTTAAGAATTATTAGAGCGTAGGGGATATAAATGCTAAAATGATTCTGAAATCTGTTTAATAAGCTATGAAATTTTTACAGTTGTTATGAGGAATTGTCTGAAGACTTTAATAAACTGCAGTGTTCAGAAAGGTGTAGTTATGGTGTAGTTCCTCACAAGTAATTTGTGCCATATTCAACTGTGTAGTTATGATATTTAGAAATTTTTAATATGTCCTGTTTGAGCTCTAGGAACGTAATTATATGAAATTTGGAAGTGTTATAAGTGAAATTTGGTATTTTCTTTTGATATTAATAATGAGCTCTACCCTGTGTACAAGATCTATCTAACTTAGTGTTATCTGAGCATAGGTGGTTGAGTAATGGAATGGATTCATCATACATCAATCATCTCCCTCTTTTAACCGAACAAAAGCATTTTCAAGGTAGCACACCAAGGCTGAGCTGTGAGGGAACAACACAAAGCTTAAACTAGTTAATCTTACCCCCATGCTTCTCAAACTAAGCATGTGGTAATCTTATAGGGTCAGTTTTACTCAAAAATTTGGTGTAGAAGGATACTTTTATTATTTTTTTTCTTTTTGTCTTTTTTACTGACTGGTAACGGGATCGCAACCCTCGGTGTCGCGCCCGTACCGGGGACCGGCAACGGGATCGCAACCCTCGGTGTTGCGCCCGCACCACGCTCAGCCAGTGAGCGGGAACCGGTCTCCACATGGGATCCGAACCCACGGCGGGAGCGCCACCGCGCTCCCAAGCAGCGCACCCTCCAGTGCACCACCGGGCCGGCCCAAGGATACATTTTAACATTTAACAGACATTAGTATATTATGAAGTCTAATATAAAATTTTATTTCAATTTTTAAGATTAAAAACAGGAGACTTCAAATAAATAGCTAAATTACTAAAGGCTGTTGTTTCAATCTGTATGTCCAAATCTCCTTTTTCCTCCTGATGCCCTTTTGTTCTCTACATAGTAAGTCTGTTAACCCCAACTACAGACTACTGGGATGCTACTGTGATACAGGATCTATAAGTAATCTCTTTCTGAGAGTTGTCATATCCCTTGGATATATCAGTCATTTATAAGATTTTTCAAAACTTTGTATATAAAGATTTTATTTCAACTCATATTTATTCATTGACTTTAACTATCTTTTTCTTGTTACCATTACCAGATATTTATGTCTATATTAGCTGATACGGAAGATAATTTATTGGCTTTAAATATAAGTTCTCTAATACTGGAGCTGCTTTAAATGAACCTGCAAAAAACAGTTTCTGTTGTCCCTATGTTTAAATTAAAGATGGTTTTCATTTACTAAGTGAAGATATGGGAGATAGATTCCTCAAGTAAAGGATTATTTTAGCATTATGAGACGATCAGCTGAGGTGTCAGACATTCTGAGAAATAAGCCTTTGTAATATAAATATTTAATGGAACACCTTAGTATGATAGTTATTGGTTCATTCTCTATAGATCTGAGTCAGACCCCTATTTTAAACCTAATATTGAAAAATAAGTAGTAGTTCTATGTAGGTCATGATTATTTGATTAATAAAAATCACCAGATCATAAATCAGTCATATAGTTATGGAAATTTAAATTGGTGATCTTTTACATTTAAAATGCAGTTGTTAACCCTTTAAAGAAAAGAACAATAAAGGTATAATATACCATTAACATGTACTCAATTTAATAATACTGTATGCTATATTTTTTGTGCCAGTGATTCAATATTAGAACCATAATATCCAGTTTTATTCCTATTTTTAATAAGGTAAAATGGGGTCCAGAGACAGAAACACCAAATCAGAAGAACAGCAGTGAGCTTCAGGTTAAAAATGAAGATAAAGGGACAAAGTCATGGACACCATCATGTTTAAGGGGACGTGCTGATCCCAACTTGAATGCTGTAAAAATTGAAAAGTTATCCGATGATGAAGAAATAGATATCACAGATGGGGCAGATGAGTTGACTTCTCAAACACCCCAAAAGAATTCTAGCAGTGATTTCTTATTAGATATTTCTACTAGTAAAACGCATGAACCTAATCAAGGAAAATTCATTGCTTCTGACAACCAGGAAGATCTCTTTTTTAAATCTTCCAGGGCATATCTTCAGAATATAAAACAAGATGCAATGGAAACACTTTCAAGCTCAGAAATTACATTACAGACTGACAAACAGAGCAACAGTGGCAAAAAATCAGTGGAGTTAAATAATCAAAAATGTAATGAACTGATTAAAACCTGTAACAAGCATGATGGAAATGGAATAACAGGTGATGTAAGGCAGATGCCTTCTCCAGAGCCTTGTGAAATTCAGAAAGATCTGAGGGATCATGAAATGCTTTTTCATACTTCTTGCCAAATGGTGGAGGAAAGCCATGAGGAAGAAGAGCTTAAGCCACCAGAACAAGAAGTAGAAGTAAATAGAAATACCATTCAAGAAGAAGAAAAACAAGCAATTCCTGAGTTTTTTGAGGGGCGCCAAGCTAAAACACCAGAACGCTATTTGAAAATTAGAAATTACATTTTGGATCAGTGGTAAGAAAGAATTACATTTTAAATGCTGTTTTAGCAACCTGATACTCTGAAGTATTTTAATTAGGCCTATGAAGAATTTAGAATTTTTCTAGTGAATCCAGGGAGCTTTCATATATATTATTTCAGTAGGCAAGATTTAAAATTTCTTGCAGTAAAACTTCTTTGAAAGCTTTGTTTTATGTTGAGACCTGTACCTGTCATTAACCCATCTGCTTGTTCATTAGAGTGTTTGGGCCTGGAAAAAAAGGGATGGCTGATGGCTTTAAGAAGCAATTTCTTGGGGCAGTGTTAGGAAGATATAGATAAGAGGGCACTATTGCACTAGAGAAAGGGGAGAATTTCTTTCCAGGCTTACATTCTTTGAGTACAAAGAAAAATTTGAAGACAGAGGGATAGTGTCATTAAATGTGTCTAGAACAGAAACTGTTCCGCTAAATAGCTATTTTAAATGCTTCCAACTTTGAACTTGTGGCATAGTGTGCTAATAATTCCCTCATTCAGTTTCATCAGAATACAGGAATTTTCTGATGTATGAAGTTTACCCTCTAAATGTCTGTACCTTTTATTTGAATTATTTAATGGGGGGTAGGGAGTAAACCAAAAAATTTCCCAACTTATTATTAGCCTAAATACTCTGAAAGTAATTTGAATTCTTAATAGCTTAACTAAGCCATCATTAAACATTCATACTTGCAATAACTGTTTTAGGAGTTATTGAATTGTGTAAGGCCATCTTTACAGAGATCTTCCCAGGTTCTTGGGTAGGGATTCTGCTTTGTCCCTTGTGTTTCTCTTCTGTATATCAAAGGTCTTCCTATCCTATTGTAGTACCTTTCCACTCTAACCTAGGAAGGTTACCAAAGGAAAACAAATGACTTGCTGAATCAGTAACCTTCATTTTACCCACAATTTGAAGTCACTTGGCTTTTAAAGATAGCTCTATTCTAAAAAAGAAGGATTTTTGTTCTTGTCCTTGACTCATAGTTATCTTGCAGATGGTTGAGGTACTGAAAGTACAGCTTCTGCGTAAGGGTGGCATCATAGTAAGGAATACTTACAAGGAACAACTGATGTTTACATAGTGCTTTACCATTTACGGACAGCTTTCGTGTATCACATTTGATGTCTTACAACAAAACTGTGAAATAGACAGATGCTGTTATCTCTAATAGACAACAATTCTGAGATCAGGAGAGATTTAGGGATCTGCCTTTGATCATACAACCAGCCACTGACACATGAAGGACTTCAGTCCAAGTCTTGACTCCATAAATCACTCTTTTTGTTATTCCACATTGCCTAATTCTCACTATTAAAAAAGACTAATTAAATTAGATCTCTGTTGTTATCTGCTTTGTATTTGGAAATAAAAGTATAACTACCAAAATTTAACTAACTCAAAAATGTCTAGATGAATGATCTGGTGTACTTAATGTTACTTTAATCAAATTCCATGTGTTACTTTGAATTTTGGATCCTAAATGAGGCAGGATAATTTATATAGTTACTATAAGTAATATGGCAGGAGTTTCCTAAGTCATTTGCCTTAATTCTTGAGACAATTAGGTATTGGCTATTTAAATATGGTGATTTGGCAGAATATTGTGAAAGCAAAAAGAGATGTTTTGAACAGGAACTCAAATCTATTCTATTCGGAAATAGAAGAGAAAATGGTTAGGGACTGAAAGTGGTGTTAAAAAAAAATAGAGGTTTTAAAAATAAAAGAGGCCCACCAGATTTGTTTGTAGATAAAAAAAAAAAAAAAAAAAAAAAAAAAAGGGGTACAATTGACTACCTGTTTGGGGGAATATTTTTATTAAAATAGTGACCAATACCATTATTGAATGCCTATCAAATGTCATGCATTGTTTTAAAATAATTTCCAGTCCTCTTGACAACCTTGTCATTTTACACCTGAGAAAAACAAGGTTCACAGATAAGGAATTTGTTCCAGGTCATACTAGGTAAAGGTGATTTCAGAGTCTATGGTCTTGACTCATTATTTTCATACTTCCGACTCAGGGCCTTGACCCTGACTTTTCACTCTGACTTGGATGCTCTTTCCTCCTAGATCTTGGCAGGTATTGCTTCCTTGTCTCATTCAGGTCTGCTCAGGAAATTAGAGGCCTTCTCTGACTACCCTATCACATATCTTCTCCCTCTCATTCTCATTCCCCTACCCTGTATTGTATTGTCTTCATAGAACTCACTACCACTGAAAATACATTTTTATTAGTGTATTGTCTTCTCTCCCTGCCTGCCTCATGATAATGAAGGCAGACTTTGTGTGTTTTGTTCATTGTTAAATCCCTAGTGCTTACAACAATGCTTGGAATATAGAAGGCACTCTATTTGTTAGGGGAAAAGATTGAACATTTGAATCATCACTATTTCATGAACAGATATTTTTAGATTCGTTACCATTTGTTCAGCACTGTGCTAGATTACTGAGCTCTGTTTAAAGCCTTTTGATTTGGATAATCTTTAATTAGATCAATCCAGTTTTCAGACTACTGCAGATTTTTGGTAGCCATTCTCTTTCCTACTTTCTTGCCTTCATTTGTGCAGTTCGTTTCCTTTTCTTCAAGTCACACTGAAATCTCAACTTTTTAATGGAAGTTATGATATCCTTTCACATCACAAATTATGTTTTACCTTCACTGAACTTATGTAGAATATATGATCTTAAATTTGATCTCTGCTTAGAGATGCTTTCTCTAAACACCCTATCTAAAATAATCTGTGCCTATTTGTCTTCCTCTATTCTCTTATCCTTCTTACTTTTCTTAGCACTGTTGCTATGTGACAATGTAGTATATGTTATTCATTGATTCATTGATGGTCTACCCCATTAGAATGTGAGGTCAGGAACTTTATATTGTTCATCTTTATATCCCTAGTGCCTAGAAAAATGTGGTATGTAGGACATGAAATAAATATTTGTAGAATAAAATAATGATTGAATAAGAAATACCTGTGTTACACGATATGTCTGAGTACCTAGCTTATAATATCTGTGCTTGAGTTCTGATTCTGTGACTTCCTTAAGTAAGTGCTTTAATCGCTCTGACCTTTTGTTTCGTCATTTCTAAAATGGGAATAATAAAATCTACCTTGTAGAGTTGTTGTGCAGATTAAGGATGTATAACTCACAGTACAACATGTGGCTGGTATCAGCACTCAGTAATTGATTTCTACTATTATTGTTTCCTAGTACTCTTAAATTTTGTATTGTGCCATCTAGCATGGTACATTACGTATATTTAGTGTATTATTTATATGTGTTTTATTATATAAATCTGTTATTTATTTCATAGTCTTTGGGAGTTTCTTGATTCCTTTGGAATTCCTTATAATATCTATTTGTTTTCCATTGAGAGAAAGCTCTTCATATTTATTGGCATCATTATTAAAAACGGATATAACACTTCTAAGCATTTATAAGATAGCTGGTAGTTAAAAGACGTTGTCCAACAAAGAGTAAGTGAACCTAAGTAATATATTAAAAATTAGAAATGTCTAATACTAAATACTTTCAATATATTATCAAAGTATCCTTTTTATTCAAAGATTCAATTTGGATCTATACATATGTATGCTTCCATCTTCTAGGTCTTGTGTAAACTGGGATTTATAGAATTTAATTTTAGGGAAGAAATAATACTTGTAAAAATCACACTATACTTATAAGTTATTACATCATTAAAATATATTTTATTTCAGAAAAAGTACACTTGGTTATTATATATTAGTATTGTATTGACTACATGTTTGCACATTGAGGGGGTAAAATTTTAAGATATTTCAAATATTAATAGTTTTCCCCAGAAGTCTTTTTTATGTTTTTATTTATCCGAAATAATTGTACTTCCATCTCTTAATTAGGGAGATATGCAAACCGAAATACTTAAATAAGACCTCAGTACGTCCTGGCCTGAAGAACTGTGGGGATGTTAATTGTATTGGACGGATTCATACATACCTCGAATTGATAGGAGCAATCAATTTTGGATGTGGTAAAAAAAAAAAAAAAAAAAAACATCTTTTACTCAACATTTTTTATTCTTATAGCACCCATTAATTTCTATGATGGTTAGATTCAGATAGATTTAGGTATATAGAATTCAGAGAGATGCTGTAACATTATGGAATAAATGTATTAAGATTTTGCTATTAAACATATTTCTGTTGATAAAACTATTTGCCTTTGACCTACAATGAAAATTGAGGGTGTTATTTTAAAGGAAAAAAAATTCAGTCTAACCATTTAAGAATACAGATTTTTTGTTGGATAAAAGTAAAATTATTTTATGAAAAGTCTAATAATAGCTCATTTAATTTGCAAATACTATATTCATGCTAGAAATGCTGACTAGCAATGTTTAAATAAAGGAAATCATTTATGAGCCTCTACACTTAAATATTTTGGCATTTTTATTCTATTTTTCATAGAAGCAAGTTTCTTTCATTCCAGTTTTTTTTTTCAAATTTAAAGTTGATGAATATGCATATTTTAAAATGTATTGTACCCTTTTATTGAATTAACATGACATAGGCTTTCCAAAGAAAGCTAAAAGCCATAGTTGCAAAATGATAAGGTAATTAGAACCTTATAACCCATGGTTTATGAAGGGCGTATTCTGTATTCTTTGTCTGTGAAAGAGAGACAACTAAGCAGAAAGTTGCCTGTCAGAGATTATTTCATTTTATACAGAGATAGATGGAATTTACAGTCTGCCCTGGGGTCTGTCCTTTATTTCAGTGTCTTTGTTTGTGCAAAGCCCTGCATATTAAGACTAACTTTTCAGGAAAACTAAGGCATTTAACTTCCTTAACCACTAAATAAAAAAGAAATCATGTTTTCCGTATTAGATACTGCCAAAGTTAGCAAAGTAGGCTTAGCACTTAGTTAGTCAGAAATTAAACAAACTACCCATTTCGCAAATATTCCATTTTATTGAGATCTTCTCATAATATATTAATTTATTTGAGAACTGTTGAATAGCCCATCAACTGTATGATTAAGGAATAATATAGAATCATAGAAGCTCAACTATAGTCAATGTAGAAATGTCTTCCTCTTTTTTCTTTTGTGAAATGAATTTCACAAAATAATATTGTTTTGTCTTTCCCGAATTCCTAGAACAGGCTGTGTATAATAGGCCACAACCAGTTGATAAAGTACGAATCAGAGACAGAAAGGATGCAGTAGAAGCATATCAGCTTGCCCAGCGTCTGCAGTCTATGGTAAGCAGTCGTCTCTCATTAAATGATCTCTCCACATTGCTCTTTACCATGTTTAGTAAGAAATGACTACTTTTTAACTGTTTAACAAATGGCCATTTAGTGGAAGAATATGTTTTCTCTTTTATTTTACCTTAGCCATTCACTTTTCTGGCTTTCATTCAATTTCATGTTGCATTTATGAGACAAAAACAAACTTTAGGGGCCGGCCCGGTGGTGCACTGCGCTAGTGCGCCGCTTGGGAAGTGCGGTGGCGCTCCCGCCGAGGGTTCGGATCCCACATACAGACCGGTTCCCGCTCACTGGCTGAGCGAGGCGCGGGGGCAACACCGAGGGTTGCGATCCCGTTGCCAGTCCCGGTCCGGTATGGGGGCGACACTGAGGGTTGCGATCCGTTGCCGGACAAGGAAAAAGACAAAAACAAAAAAAACAAAAAAAAACACACTTTAAAAACCCTCAAAATTCATTGGCAAACTTGATCCAAAGTAATGTTTTGCTAAAGTGATTTTGGACTGCTTAGTTTTGATTTATAAATCTAATGTGTCTTTTAAAACTATATAGTTTTTTTTTTTCTCTATTAGTTATTTTTGTTTATTCTTTCAAAATACCTTAAGAATCAGCTTTTTGGAATAGCTAACCTTTATTTTTTAATTCTTTGAGTCAGTGAGTTTGATATTCTTAAATTCGTAAATGTTATTTTAAAAATAAAGTGACCTAACAAGTCTTCTGTAAGGCAGAGTCATACTATGATCCTGTTAGTTTTACTAATAGGTTAAATTGATAATAGGTAAGAAAAAAATGTATAGATGATAAAGTAGCTATTTTTCTCAGAGTATTTAGTCTTTAAACCATTTCTACCTAGACTTACTATCTTAAGAAAGGATGTTTTCAAAATAGAGTTGTTAGAGTTGGTGCTACTATCTTTGGCAGCTGTTCTATTTCAAAAGCCTCAGTATTAAGGTTTGAAAAACTATTAGTAATATAATATAGTCAGCCAACTTTGTAATTTGTCATTATTTGTATTAATTAGGCAATCTCCTTTCTAAAGGAGAAATATAATTATTTTGCATCTAGTTTTTAATATTATACTTCTTGCTATGCATTCTTGCAAATTTTCTACCACAAGTGGTTGAAAGGAAAGCTATTTTCTTGGTGGTTCTTTTTGGTCTTAAAAACATCTTTGTTCTAGTGTTTTAGCTTCTAAATGGTGAAAGAAAATGAAAATTAAAGAGGAAATGCAAATAAAATACAGAAAATCATCACTGGTTTTTCTTAAAAGCCCCCCACCGGCACCAGCCAGCTCATACTCTGCCTACCTGCTGCCAGTGCTCATGCGCTTAGTGTACCATCACTGATTTATTTCTAAGCAGAGTGCAAACTATTGAACAAAAATTAATAAAATAAAACTTAGACATTGCTAATCAGAGATTAAAATATTGATAAATGAATTGATTTTTTAGATAATTATCATTATGGTTTTGTATTAATATGCTGTTATTTTTCCAAATTAATCTGGTTACCTTTTGCTTTGTTTTAATCTCATCACAGCGCACGAGGAGACGTAGGGTTCGAGACCCATGGGGAAACTGGTGTGATGCGAAGGACTTAGAAGGACAAACATTTGAGGTAACTTTGACCTTTCAAATAGCCCATTCATGAAAATATTTTTGTCAGTACATGTTTGTATTTCTTAATGTCATATATATTATACTTGTTTTATATATTTATATATATATGTCTTCATTCCCATGTTAATTTATCTAGGAGTCACCAATAAACAACAAAGTAGAAGGAATTGGTGGTGAAGTTAACTAGGAGCCTGACTCATTTTCAGAATTCTGATTCTCTATCTCCAGGTTTATCTAGGAGTCACCAATAAACAACAAAGTAGAAGGCATTGGTGGTGAAGTTAACTAGGAGCCTGACTCATTTTCAGAATTCTGATTCTCTATCTCCAGTCTTATCTCTAGCTCAGGAATATCTGTCAGCATGCCAAGAAGTTGGTATGCCCAATTCATTTTATTAAACATTTATTGAATGATGTTCTGATATACCAGTAAAAATATTGTACTAAGCATTAGATACAAATTGAATTACAAATATTGAAGTGTTATTCCTACTAATAAAAACTATGGTCCTAAAAGGAAACATAGGCAATGGATGTGTTTGTGTACGTGTATACACAAATGCACATGCCTCTTCTAAATATATAGTTTATTTATAAACAACCAGTGCAGTATAATGGAAAGAATATGTGAAAGTGTACTTACTAGCTTTGTTGCCTTGAGCAACTACTTAACCTCACTGAATCTCATGTTTTTTTTAATTTATGAAGTGTGGATAATACCTTCCTCAAAGGATTGTTGAAATGAATAAATGAGATAAAGTATGTAAAGGTACTAATACTAGGTACTCAGTAAGCTTTGCATGCACAAGATACTCAATAAATGTTAGTTGTCTGTCTTCCTTTCTCTCCATTCCCTGCCCCCAACCTCACACCTGAGCACTATTTTAGAAACAATAATTAATAATACATGGTTCCTTCCCATAAGGAACTTATATTACTAGCAGGAAAGATAAAACCTATGGTAAATTCCATAAGGTTGCTCCCAAGAATTATAAGATCTTCCCAAAGGATGTGATCAGGAAGGTTTCACAGAAGATATGATGTTCAGTTTCATCTAAAGGACCAGCAGAAGAATCTGGAAAAGTAGATGAAAGCATTCCAAGCTGAGGGAGTGGCATAAGCAAAGGTGTAGACACGGGAAAATACTATTCTGGAAAAGGTGCATAGTTCATTTGGGCTAGAAGCTAAGCTTGGTAGCAGAAGCAGAATAAATAGAGGTTTACTTTATTTTATAAATACTTATATAGGGCTTACTATGTGTGAGACACTATTGTCAGTATTTTATAAACATTAATCTTCACAGTAACACCGTGACATTGTTTTTATTACTATTATTGTTCCCATTTTTAAAAATGAGGAAACTGAAGCACAAAAGTTTCTAAACTTGCCTAGGGTCACCCAGCTAGTAAATAGCAGAGTTGAGCATTCTAGCTCCAGAAGTTGTGTTCATAATCATTATGCTGCGATGTCTGTCAGTTGTGAAAGAAAACTCAACACAGTAGGGCTTGGTAACGAGAAATGGGAGATAAAAGACTCGGGTGATAACTGATGTTTTTGAAACTGGGTTATTGGTACCATTGGAATGGATAAGTCAAGAGTAGGAATAAATTTTAAGTTTGGTATGGCTGTGTATTTTGAAACAATTTTATAAAAATATTGGCAAGTTTTTTGGTTTTTTTTTTAATGTTTAGTCTTCACCCTTATCCAGCATTTTTATTTATTAGTAGCAAGGAGACACATCTATATCAATTTAGTCTGTCTTATTCTCACGTGCCCTTGAATTTGGCTTTAAAGGACTATTTTTATTAATTCTGCCTCAGTCATTGATGGACTTTTTGACCAAATGTTGTTTTATTTTAGCATCTCTCTGCTGAGGAGTTGGCAAAAAGAAGAGAAGAGGAAAAGTGCAAACCTGTTAAATCTTTAAAAGTACCAAGACCAGCAAAAAGGTATAGTGTTATGTTATAGAAATGTGATTTTTTTTTAACTTATCACAAATGGTTAGAAAATGTATGGACATATATTCAATAGCTGCATTTATATTGACATTAAGTTAAAAAAAAGTACTGCTAAAATTTTTGTAATTTTTTATTTCACCGATTAGCAATTTGGAAGACCTCAAGCAAAAGTTTTAGATTTGTTCAGGTTCAGTTAACATAGAATTCAACATGTTGTAAAGGGGCCTTATTTATAATAAGTAGTCATTCAATTCCAGACATTATGGATGGGTAACCTCATGAAATGACTCTCTCTCTCTCTTTGGGTGATGTTGATTGTTGGGTTTGTTGTTTTTTAATGTATATATAATAAGCTAAAATTTGAAACTCGTAAAATTGAGGGTCACTGAATAAGTTGAATGCCTTAATTTTCTGGACCTCTCATTTCCTGTAGATCCCCCCCCCCCATTGAATAGACTATAGTTTTGTCAGGGTTCCTTTTAAAGCAATATATCCAGGAGTTGTGTGTCCTTGGGTAAGCCTTGGGTCCTCATTTATGAAATAATAGTTAAAATAGTTAACACTGTTAGCTGTGTTTTAAGGCCAGTAGTTAACATCTCCCTTAATACTGATGAGAAAACTTAGAGACATAGAGAGTTTAATAACTTGCTCACCCTATTTAGGTGAGCTATTGATTTTAAACCCAGGCATTAAGACTTAAGAATCCATTCTGCTAACCATTATGTCATGTTACCTCTCTAAAATAAAAATGAAAACTTACGTAAAAATTGTGAGAGTAAATTAGATAAACTGTGTAAAAAATAGTCATCCATAAGCCAAGACTCGTCGTCCAGTATCTAGACAATTGATTATCTGAATCTAAATGTGAGGCTTAAATTTATTGTGATTTTCAAGTCGTTGTTCCAGTTGTCAACATCCTTTTGAATCCAGATTCACTTTTCTCATTTTAGCCTTGGTAGCATTTTATCATCAGCATTTCAATAAGCTTGCCTTTTCTGCCATTAATCACTGATTAAAATGTTTAGCTGAAATAAACGGAGACCTCAGACATCATTGTTCTGTCAGTTTATATGTTACCACAATTAACCCATATTTCTTCATCTTGTGTGGAAGGATAATCATAGCAGTGTCTTGCTGAAGTATATAAAATACATTTTACATATTTAGGTAAAATATATATGAGTCTTTATATAGTCCGCTAGTTTTTAGCAGATCATTCCTACCAAAAATGTCTGTGATAAGGTCTACTTATGATTTATATTTTTATGAACCATCATTTGCTTAGTCATCTGTTTACTTGGTAAAAGTTTACAAATCATCAGTTTTAATAATCTTTTGTAGAATTTTGCCAGTATGCAACATCAAATTCTTTTGTGTCTGAAGTCTGCTTTTCTTTTTCATATTTTGAAAACAAGTTCAGTAATTGCCTGTCTCTAGTCCTCCAATAATTTTCCCTTTCTCTGCAGCTTGTCAGAAGCATTGATGGCAGTTCCGCATTCATGGTCCTTAAGTACCCTGCGACGTTCTTCCTCTGCTCTCTTTCTGCTTTCTCATCTGTCCTGGCCTTTAATTTTTTTGTTTTTTTTATTTGTGTTGATTAAGCACTTTATAATTTAAAAGTCTTTTCATTCAAGAAATATTTTTTGAATGCCTAATATGTGTCAGGCAGTTCTGGGAATTTGGGCTACAGAACTAAGCAAAACAAAGTGTCTGTTCTCTTGGAGCTAACTAACAGTCTCTTTGGTGGAATGGGAGCTGAATAGTGCTACTCTTTTCCAGTTATGTTAACATGAGCATATTCATGTTTGTTTTTCTTTCTCTGAACATAGCCTTAAAAAAGCCATTTTATTTTTCTTAATATTTTTCTCAAACCTCAGTTCTTTACCGGTCAAAGCCTTTCTAACATTTCCCTCAGATTTACACATGCTTTTGTGTCTAGCCTTGTTTAGACTCCCCCTTTCCATCTCTTTTTACTTTTTCATTTTAGAATAAGAGTTTGTCATAGGACTTGCTATATACATTAATTTCTTTGGTAGAATGTTTGTCATTCATTCAGAATATAGTGAGTGAGTCCTTACTCTATGGTGAGCACATTATTGTACTGGCAAAAGTGTTTTTGAGAAACCTCCATCTTTCTTGAACTTTCTTTCAAGTCTCTTGTCAGAGAATTAGTTACATTTTCATTGAACTTCTTGAAATCTGCTTTCACTGTAGGACACATATCTGACAATTCATAGTGTTCTCTTCAGGTGTTAAAGGGACTTAAGACAACAGAATTAACTTTCTCCCAAAGTTCCTGGTTTCTTTAATCAAATCTAAAAGAACAATGCTTCTTCAGAAGGGTTGTATGTAATGTCCTAAGAAATTCTCCTGGTTTAACATTCTTCTCATTCAGATAGAATTTGGGTTTTGGTTATTGATACATATTTTCAAATTTGCAAATAACTTTATTTTCCTAATCTTGTTGAGATTATATTAAAAATGATTTTTTTTTTCTTTTTCAGCTCATTTGATCCCTTCCAACTGATACCTTGCAATTTTTTCAGTGAAGAAAAGCAGGTACTATTTTAGTTTAGTTTGCACTGAGCCTTGATTAGTGTTGAGAACTTGGTGGGATAGATAAAGGAGAAAAGGGTGGACATTCCAGCTGGGGAAAACAAAGTCTTTATTTTTATGCTCCCCCGTTTTTTGTTTTTTGTTTTATATTTCAGGAGCCATTTCAGGTGAAAGTGGCTTCAGAAGCACTTTTAATAATGGATTTGGTAAGGATAATCTATTGTGTTTATTTAGTTATTCTGATTTCTATTCTTGTGTATTTTTATTGCAGGCATAAGAGAGAGTATGGAAGACGTGTGTTTTGGATCTTAACTATCCTCTTTTACAAGGAATCTAAAAATGTCTTTTCTTTTGGAGAAAAGCCAAACAATTGTATGTTTCCATATTTTAGAGAAAATAAATTAATGTGAGTTTTTGCAGACTGTTCACCATCATTAACCCTATTTTCGTTTCCTAATATCCCATGTCTGCTGTCTTTTAGATCACTGAAACAAAGCACAACTCCTATAATTTGGAGGTTCCTTGTTTGCGCTAAACTACTGATACATCCCACAGTTGTGTGGTTGTGGTGTTTTTCTGCAGAGGCACCCAGAGTGATTTTTACTTTGTACCCTTATAATACCTTTCTTGAATAGGAGAGCAAATGGTATCTTCATTTCATAAGAGAAAAAGTGGAGTCTTGTAGAGTTTAAGTGTTTGGTTCAAAGCTTTTCAGCTGACAATGAAGATAGACGTAAAATCTTATTCTCTGTGCTCTGAGCTTCACACCAATTCCTCTACTATGGTAGTTTATTTTAGAAATTCATAATTACCATATTTGTAAATTACTCTGCTGTGATAAGTGAATTGTATTCTGATTTTTTTGTCAGCTGTGTTTGGGCTAAGTCTGTATTATATTTCTTTTAGCATGCCCATGCGTCTATGGCAGAAGTGATTGGTCTGTTAGGAGGAAGATACTCAGAAGTTGATAAAATAGTTGAAGTAAGTTCTCTCTTTTAAAAAACTGTTTTAATTACTATTTAGTTCTGCTGCCATACCAAATATTTTTATAGAATTTGGTGAATATAGTTAAAACACAGACTTTACCTATGATATGTGTGAGAATATGCAAATATAACAAATTATGTATTCCCAGAACTAAACATTCCATATACTGAATACCTGTTGCCTTTCATCGCCAAGAGAAAACACTGCCAGGCCTTGCCTATTAATTACCCTCACCAGTGAAAAGCTACAACTTCTAAAATGCCAGAAATGTGTGTTTACACTTGTAGTTGAAAGTTGGTATGCATCATTCTATTGACTTTATTGTCATAAATAATAGGAATCATTGAAAGAATAACTTTGTATAGGTACTATGTGGACTGAACTGGAAAACTAGCAATTATTATGACTTTGAGCAGAAAAATGCATGCTAAGTTCTTAGTTCTTATACAAACACACTTTTGGAGTATGATTCATTTGCAGGTTAAATGCTGCCTATGATATACTCAAATGTCTTGGCCTTGAAAAGCTTCTGTGTCTATGTATGAAAGAACTAAAACATTAAAGTAATAGAATTAACAGGATTTCAGTATAATCATATGAGGATCAATCCTTTACAGATCTGTGCAGCAGAACCATGTAACAGTCTGAGTACAGGACTGCAGTGTGAGATGGATCCTGTATCACAAACACAGGCCTCAGAAACCTTGGCTGTTAGAGGCTACAGTGTTATTGGATGGTATCACTCTCATCCTGCATTTGATCCTAATCCTTCCTTGAGAGATATTGACACACAAGCCAAATACCAGGTATATTTGTAGGTATTGTGTGTATAAATTCTGTAAAAGATTGCACGTTTCCCCCACCCCACCCCCAATTGCTTTCTGTTAAATATACTTTTAGCATTTTCAGTATTGCATTTCTAATACTAGAGGTCTTCAGAAAGTTCATGGAAGGATTTATGTTATCTTCTCATTCAATTTTTCCACAAACTTTGTAAAAGTATCCTTGTATTCTTTATATCTGAGGTTTTGAAATAACTTGCCATTTTTTATTTATTGCGATAGTAATATATGTTAATGTACACATTTGGAAAGTCACCTATTTTGTTTAGTACAGACAAGCCATAAAAGTAACAGTGATAAATACTCCCAGAGCCTTTAAAAATTGATGGGAACAACTATGACGAGGACCAGCTACAGCTGAAGTAATCAGAAACAATATATTTTGCGTCTCTGAAAAAAGTTTTGTTTTATTCTTTAATTTTATGTTTGATATGTGAATGTTTTTGTTGTAGGGAGCTGTTTGTAAACTATTACCATACCAATAACGATTATAGCTGTAGTGTGGTGAATATAATTTGTAAATATATTTGTGGCAAATGTAGATTTTATAGGCCAGGTGATTTTTTTTAAGGGTCATTTCAGATTGAGTTGAAGACATTGGTCTGAAAAATTTAGAATGTGAAATGAATATATAAGGCATTTCATTTAGTTGCTGTTTGGAGATGAAATTTTTAATACACTTTTTTGTTCTCCTTTTCCCCATTAGATGTTTAAAATGTTGGTATGGATAGATATTTAAATTTATATAGTTGAAACTAATTATACTTTTCTTGTAATTATAGAGTTACTTCTCCAGAGGAGGTGCAAAGTTCATTGGAATGATTGTTAGTCCCTATAATCGAAATAATCCTTTACCATATTCCCAGATTACCTGCCTGGTTATAAGTGAGGAAATTAGCCCAGATGGCTCCTATCGTAAGTTTTCAGCAAAAATAACTTCCTCCTATTTCTACTCTAATTTCTTTGAATCTTAAATAGTCAAGAATTTACAACTGTGCAAAATTATTTCATGCCTCAACTAGGGGATCGCTGGGTGCCATCTAGTGCAGCCACCCTCTTTCATAATATCCAGTTATAGTCAAGTCCCCACTGTGTTGCTATGGCCACTGGGCAAAAGGCTTAAAATGTGGAGAAAAGTTATGGCCAAGCAGTGTGTATGTAAGGCACTGGAGACACTGCAATAAATGAAGTAGAGAAAGTCTGTGTTCTCATGAAAATTTTTTTGTAAATGCAAACTGGCTTCCTCTGCGATGGCATGCATATGGTAAAAAAAAAAAAAAAAAAAAAAAAAAAAAAAAAAAAAAAAAAAAAAAAAAAAAAAAAAAAAAAAAAAAAAAAAAAAAAAAAAAATGAGCACCAGCTCTTCATCACCTCCCAGTTCAGGCTTAACAATGATTAGCTTTATTTTTACATCTCTTAGTTCCCATTCTATCTCAAGAAAGAATTTGGTTGGTGTAGCCCATCCTATGACTCGATTCCTGAGGTTTATGTCCACTTGTGGTCCAGTCAACTCTGGCTGGTTAGGGAATTAGTGTAGCCGACTAGGAAAAGAAGAGAGTGTGGATAGAAAGGAAATGATTGGAGGACACAGTTGGCACCTCAAGGAAATTTATTTCCTCTTCCCTGTCCTCGCTACCACTACTTTACTTCAGGTCCTCCTCTGGACACTATCACTAGAGTTACCACATTGTACTCTTCCACATCAGGTCATGAATTCTTTGAGAGTAGGTACTGTATTGTATTTATTTTTCTATCCTGTTTCCAGCACAAGGAAACATATCTTCATTCTTAGTGATCTTCCTTGAATGCCCTCTGTTTGGTAAAAACTTCCCAGCACTACCCTTATGTCATCTACTATTAATTGCTCTATTCTTTGTGTATCTGCAACATTTTTTTCCTGCCTTGTGGTCGCTTTTTTGTCTTTTAATGTAATTTATTTAGCAAGTCTTGCTAAACTGAGCACCAAAAGAGCAGGGACTATGTCTTATTTGTCTTTGTATCCCCAGGAACACCTAATCAATTGCCTTCATCTAGGAGGGGTCAACACTCTGGGTCTTTATTGAATGAATAATATTGGCAATCGCTTTGGTCCAGAATGCTCATTTCGATTGTAGCACATAGTATATATCATTCTTTGGCTCAGTATAATTTTACAAAAAGAGGAATTACAATGAACTTGTTCACTTTATTTTTTAGTCTCAAACTGCTAGATTTTAGTAGTGAGCCTCTACTCTCATGCTGTCCAGTAGTAGGGATATGTGACTTTAAATTTAAATACATTAGAATTAAATGAAATTTAAAATTCAGTTTGTGTAGTTCTACTTCTAGCCAAAATGAAGTAATCAGGACCTGTCTGGAAAAAAACTGGACAAAATATATAAAACAGTGGTATTTAGGACACAACATCAGGCACCAAAGGAATGTGATTACTAAGAGATTGGAAACAAATGAAGTGAGCCCAAAATTATCCTAGTTTTCTGACTTAAGAAAGTTTTCAGGTATGGCACAAGGAGAAGCACACCCAGAACCTGGCAGACTCTCTGGGTTGCAGTGATAGAGGTGGGGATACCAAGGCAGCTAAGATTGCAAGACAGAGTCCTAGAGAACAGAAAGCCAAATAGAGAGTGAGCTCCAGAGTTTTGTAGAAGGTACCTCTGGAGTATTTAGCAAAATACAGACCAGCACATGCACAAGAAGAAACTAACCTAGGCAGGGGAAAAGACCACTTGAAAGGATTAGAGGAAACTGTACCTGGTGTTCACATAAGCTTCCATTGGACAGCGCACAGGTGCTCAATGTTACTGTCATTGCAGAAAGTTGTATTGGACAAAGCTACCTCATATATTACTTGTCCAGGTTAACACTTCGTATTAGATCTTAATCCTAGGTCTTTTGCTCCTCTTGGAAATTATCTTGGGGTAAAAATTAAGGTTTTTCAGAAGCCATGAATACCTTGTGCTATAGTACTTTTAACTCAGGTCCTATCTTTAAAATATCTCCAATGGTTAAGTGTTTTCTGTACTTGTGACAGGCAGGTATTATACTTAATGATTAGTTTTCTTATATTTTAGTGGGTAAAAATATTCTACACAAAAGGAAATTTTTAGTGGCTTTAGTGCCTTTTTTTTAACTTAGAAAAATTTTCTTAATACCAAATAAAGTTGTATATAGTTTGTGTGTGTATGTGTATGTTTCTGTGTTTTTCTGTCAGCACAGACTGAAAATGCATTATTTATGTCTCTTTAATCCCATTTTTGATTTTCGTTAAAAGTAGGAGTCAGTCAACTGGATTCACATGCCAACTCTGACATGTATTGGTTTTTTGTTTTTTTATTTTTTATTTTTTTTTTTTACCTTGGGCAGGTTACTTAACCTCTCTCATTCTCTTTTTCTGTAAAATGAGAAAAAATTACTACCTTGCTTACAGGGTGGGTGGCTGTAAGAATTGCCAGTAATACATGTAAAGTGTTTAGCAAATAATAGGTTTTTAGTAGATAGTTATGATTATAGCTGGTATCTGTGCTTAGTAGGTAATCAAGGCATGTCAAGTAAATGATTGTTACCACCAAAAGGAGTTTGCTTAATAGCCTTTGTACTGTAATGTGTCGCTCTTCTTAAGTTTTTGGAGGGGAGGAGATTTGAGAAATGGGGGAAAAAAAGATCAATCATCATTAGGCTTGCTATCCCTTTCTCTCCCTCCAAACACCTGAACAAGTGGAAAAAAAAAAAAAAATGTCTTTTTAGAGCATATTGACAATTTAGCTATCCTTTGTTTCAATGAAGAAGTACATTTATGGTTTTCCCCCCTTTTTTGTTTTGTTTTGTTTTGTTTTGTTTTTCCATGCCTTCTGGTTTGCTGGCATTTTACTTACTTCAAAAGCTTTATTATGGGAAAAATCTAATTGACAGGCAGTGTACTGTGTAAGTTAAGAACATAAACTCTCAAGCCAGTCTACCTGGGTTCAGATACTGCCTCTGTCTCTTAAAATGATGACGAACAAGTTACCTAACCTTTCTGTGGCTCAGTGTTCTCATAAAAAAAAAATTGGGAAAATAATGGTAACTACTTTGTTTAAGTGACATGAAGTTACATATTTAAAGCACCTAAAGCTTGGCATGTAACTTATCACTAAGATGGCAATATGTCTTGGTTTGCCTAAGACAGTCCCAAGCCTGTGGCTCTGGCACAGTTGTTAACCTTGCTCCCTCTCACTCAAAATGTCTCTTGGTTTGGGTGATAAATTATTTGATCATCCTACCTCTCACAGTGCCTTGCATAGAATTGTCACACAAATGGCACTTTTACTTTTCTTTATTATTATTAATAGTTTGGCATTAACATGCTTGATGGGCCAAGTACAGTCAGGCAATAAATGTTTAATGAATGCCCACTATGTTTCAAGTGCTCTTCAACTGGTCTGCCAAACTGTGGTTGTAAAAACACTGAAGGGAATTTAAAGTATTATTAAAAGGAGATTGGAGATTTAAGAAATAGTTGATGAAAATGTGCTTCTTTATGCTTCTCCCAGGTTTACCTTACAAATTTGAAGTACAACAGATGCTAGAAGAACCTCAGTGGGGATTAGTGTTTGAAAAGACAAAGTGGATAATAGAAAAATACAGGCTCTCCCATAGGTATGTGCTGTGGTTTGAGACAGTTGCATGTCTGCAGTGTTTCTCATTAAAAAACCCAAGTTAAATTATGATGGATGGCATCAGTGATAGTTTATTACAAAGCTGATTAGTTTATAGTATTTCATCAGTTTGTTTTCATATTTCTTTCTACAGCAGTGTCCCCATGGATAAAATCTTTCACCGGGATTCTGACCTGACTTGTTTGCAGAAAGTAAGCTGCCTTCATTTTAATTGGTTCCACTGTTCACAGATTCCAAAGCTGTTCATCTCAATGTGTTTTCCCATGATGACTGATGCTTTGTGGATAATTTTCTGTATATTTCCTTTATTGCTTTTTCCTTTCTAAAATTAATTTCTAGGAGATAATTAGTAATGTGTTTTGTTGTCCAAGCTTACACATAGAAATAATACTATTTTACAATAAATTTTTCAGTGTTGGCTGATAAATTTCTTAGATTATTATAGTCAATGGAGAACATTTTTCTCATTTCATTAAATTCAAAAGCACCATGTTTGCAATTTAGCCTTAACAATTGATCGTTTTTAAAAATGATGGTATAAATCTAGCCATTAAATTTAAATGGTCATTTTATTTAACTTTCTAGTAGAAAATAAGAGTTTTGAATTCTTTTATTTCACTTCTAGGTTTGCTTCTGTAATGAAATTAATAACAGTAGACTGGAGCATTTGTCTTTTATTTATTTTTTATTTTGATAGCAATTTGATATGTTAAATAGAAAATTTTAACGTATTAAATTTCTTTTTATTATATTTTACCCCTGTCTGTTATATCCACTTTTTCTTTGTGCTGTTGAAAGATTAATATGCACATTTCCAAGAAAATAGACTCTAGCATCCTAATTTTTAAATGGTAGAATTCTGCATTTGTATATACTTAGACTTTTTTATATGTACAGGATTATTTTGTTCTGTAAATGGAACTACTGAAAAAGGAGCAGAGTCACAAATTTGTCCAAGGTAGAAAACATCTCATGTAAAATCATGAAGGAACTAAGCTAAATGTTCCTCATCAGTGGTTTTCAACATTCCAGCTGTATTGAAGACAGGTTAATCTTCAACCACATTTAGGGAAAGTGTCCCTCTTGTGAGCATTAGGAAATGCAGGGTTTGGAAAGGAATAAAATAGTGATAGGGCTGGCTGGTTAGCTCAGTTGGTTAGAGCGTGGTGTTGTAATACCAAGGTCAAGGGTTCATATCCGCGTACCAGCCAGCTGCAAAATATATATATGTATAGTAATAGTAATGCAAATCCTATTTTTATACTTTTTATGTATTTAAATATAAAACTTTTCTTTTCAACTAGCTTTTGGAGTGTCTGAGGAAAACTCTGAGCAAAGTGACCAATTGCTTCATTGCTGAAGAATTCTTGACTCAAATAGAAAATTTGTTCCTTTCCAATTATAAAAGCAAGCAAGAGAATGGAGTGGCTAAAGAGAACTGTACAAAAGAATTGTTAATGTAATTATTGTAAAGTCAGACATTTTTATCTTGACAGGATAGATCCTACTTTCAAAGTTATAACCTTGAAATGATTGTAATTTAGTTAACAGTGGCACAGCTTTGGCATTTTTTTCTCTAGTTCACAAAATCCAAACTTTGCCAAATAAATCATGGGAAAGGAAGAGATGTGGACTTGTCATGCAGTGATTGATGTGTCAGAATGCTGTGTAAACCATGGTCCACTGTAATGTTCCAGTCCTTTATTAAGCATTGCAGTAGACTAAGAAAACTTACAAGAGTAGTCTGCTTTACAATTGTATTCAGCTTAATAAGTGGAATATATCTCTAATTTTTATTTCTGAACTAGTTGTTTATTATCTTCCAGCTTGATATCTCATATCTCATTAGAAGTACTTTCATTCTTTCCATATAAGAGTAGTCTGCTTTACAATTGTATTCAGCTTAATAAGTGGAATATATCTCTAATTTTTATTTCTGAACTAGTCGTTTATTATCTTCCAGCTTGATATCTCATATCTCATTAGAAGTACTTTCATTCTTTCCATATGTTCTGGTGAGATTTATTTATGTTTGCAAGTAGATATGGATGGGTGGTCACTGAGATAATTAACGTGGTTGAGAATCTAATCTACTGATTGGATTAGTAAATCTAATCGTGCTATAGGGGGGCCACGAGAGGCATGAGGAGAAAAATCTTAAGAACAGTCAGAAGAGAAACTCAGAGGTGAGAGTCAAATTACCAGTTTTTAATCATAGATATTTGCTTCTATTTTAATTTATAGAAACAATATTATGATATAAAATTTTTTGAGCAGTCTGAATCATTTTTTATGGATTTCCAACACATAAAATACTCAGCTTCAACTACATGTTCACTTATGTTAGTGCATTAAAACCTCATTTAACTGGAACACAAGTAATCATAACCTTTGAACTAGATTTTTTTTTTCTACTACCTTCTATTAGTAGAAAGAGACAAATTACAATGAAGCTTGAATAAATCAGATTTAATTTTTAAAAACAAAAAAGCACCTTCAAGGATACATTACATATTCAGCTCAGTTTTATGTGTTCTCTGAATCCAAAATGGAAGTCAGCAATTTTTTTTTATGTAAAGGACCAGTTAGTAAATTATTTTGGTTTTTTGGGCCACATACAGTCTTTATCAAACATTATTCTTTGCAACCCTTTAAAAATGTAAAAACCATTTTTATCTAATGGGCCTCACAAAACACAGGCCACCAGCCATTATTTTCCAAACCCTGATCTAGAGAATTGCGAACATTAGAATTTTGTTTTAGATTCATGAGCTTGAGCCTGAGACTGAATAGTCTTGCATCATCTTCAGATGACAATAAAACTCAGAATTGTGATCCACATTAAAGTACATTTTCAAATAAAAGTAAGCAATCATGCTGCCTTATTTATTGAAACTTAATGTGTTTTAGTTTATTTCTGTTAACCAGAGAATTGATTTATACCCATTCTCCAAGCATTCTTATTAATAACAGTTTGACTATATCTAAACTGGAAATGATTCTATATTTTTGCTTTATTTGGTTATAATCAATAGCTAAGGAACAATAAGGCAATATTGGAAGAAGCATTGAGCCAGTTTTAGGTGACTTGGCTCTTGTCTCAACCTTTGATTTGGGGGGATAAAATATAGTTTACTTTCTCTGGGCCTAAATTCTTCTGTGTAACTAAAGTCTAAATTAACTCCTAGTATCCTTTCAGGCTTACAATTTTATGATTCATTTCAATTGTTAGACTACTTACCTGGAACTTTATATTTTGAGATAGTATAGTCCCCAAATTAACTTATATTTTTAAAGAAAACTGGTAGTATTTTCTGTTTCTCTGTTTGCATTTAGGATACACAATGACTAGCTTATAAAACAATTAATTTGGAGGCTTGGAGTGTAAAAACTCTAGACCAAAATATCAGGAAACCTGAGCTTGTATCCTGATTCTGTTACCAACTTTGCTGTGTGACCTTTGTCAAATCACTAGCCTTTCTGGACCTCAGACTCCTCACATGTTATTCAGGGGTGAATTTTATGACTTGGTGTTGCCTTTCAAGCTCAGAAGGTCTGTGATTCTGTGAAAGGCAGTAATTCTTTATACTTGTCTTCCTTTTGACCTGTTTCCTCATTGTATATTGGGGAACAGATACTAGAAAATGATATTGGTTAGATTTCTGGATTGATATTTCCCTGTAATATTGATGGATTTCGGTGATGATATAATACTGCTGAATTTGAGTAATATTGATGAATTTGGGTGATGGAAAGTTGTTAAAAGTTCTCTTCTCAAATCTGGGTCTCCTGCATGCCAATGGTTGACTGTATCAAGTGACCTAAGCCATACTGTGAGGAACTCAAAGATAATAATTGTCAGAGTGTAGGGCATTGCGAGCACAATTTTAAAAATAATATTGAGTATTTTTGTCTGACTATAGAGTACATTTATCTTATAAAATATATTTAAAAACACAGAGAAGTATAAATAAAGTACAAATATCTCAATCCTACTATCTAGAACACCACAGTTAACATAGTAGTGTAAATCCTTTCTCATTTTTTTGACTGTAATTTTAGAGCATTAAAATTTGTTATTTTTTCCCTCCCCTTCTCCCCCATTCATTCTCCCTGCCTTTTTTTTTTTCTCTAGTCATATTCTTAAAACATTTTTGTATCCGCGGGTGCCCACATTTCTAGCACTGCCAGCTTTGGAGCCAAGGCTTTGGAGAAGCACAGAAGTCTAGAACTGAGTGGAAGTGTATTACAGGAAGTTCAGGAGGCAGGGTCTCAAAGGAAAACCTACCTCTAATAATGCTTACAGAAGTGGAAGAAAGGACTTGAAATCATCCAAGTCTTTTTATCCTGATTCTGTTCTTATTGTTGCACAATGACCATAAAATACTGAGCTTAATTTTTTTTTTTTTCTGTCTTGGCTGATGGAAATTGACACTAGTACTTCCCCAGTATTAGACTTAGCTTTCTTTAAAAATCTAATTCCAAAAGTAACATTCAAAAAAAAGAAAAATCAGTGGAACAAGATCAGCAAGATCAGACTTTCTTTCCTCCTTCATTATTTTAGCCTTGAACCATTCTTTAATCCTTTTAAATAATCTTCAGTTTTGTTTCCTACAATTGGGTTTGACCACCCTGTATTCAGATTTGCATTATGATTTTTGTGGGCCCTGGGTACTTTTGCCTTCTTGGACCCCTTCTTCCATAGAAAATTAAAAATTATATATTATAATTGCATTTGTATAAACTGAATACATTAATATTTTAGATTAAAGCATTTTCTTCAATCTAAAAGTTTATTTTTTCCTTAGGAATTTAAAAGAAATTATAACATTTTTTATCGGCCTCTAAAAACTATTGTGGGCCTGAGGTACTGTGGCTAATGCGTAAATTGGCCATGCTTATATTCTGAAGGGTATCACTGGAAAAGCAGCAATAACTACTCTCTCCTCTGTCCCCACCATCATAAACCCTAGGGTGGCAACCCTAGGGTGGCCTTTGCCACCTCATCCAAGAGCACTGCAGTTCCTCCTGTTACAGATCTGTAGGCTTGAACTTCATTCCTTCCTGAACTGTCTGAAGCTCAGGAGTATTGCTTGGAACCATTCTTCCCCCCCAAAAGATAGGAGGCAATGGTTAGTTTTAGTCTTCAGGTAGATATTTTTTTTGTTCTGGTCCATAACCTATAATTTTGAAACTCATGCCACACTTCAAAGGGGAAGACCCTGCTGCCTTTCTTTTTCTCTTCATTTCCCTCAAACCCTTTCCTTCATTCTCACTCCCTCTACTTCTCACCTCTCCGCATATAGGTACAAGACCATTCATTTTATAATTTATTAAAAGCTAAGCCTGCAAAATAGGGATGAACAAACCCACTTATATTTCACTAAAGCTGCCCCCAGCCTTCTCTCCATAGTATTCCTCCCCCTTTGTAACCCTCCCACCCCTCCCTTCCCCCCTCACCCCCCAAGAGTGAGTTAAGGTCTATAATATGCACATTGTAAACACAGAGCCTTTGCACCTTTTCTGGGCAGCAGAGGAGACTACGGCCTCAACGTGCCAATCTGAGCAGGCCTCCTGCTCTTTTGTTTCTCTTCTTCCCATTTATCTTGCTGGGTCCTAACGAAAGTGAGCTGAGGACTCGGAGGAACTGATACAGTCAAAATGCCCTCAGACCGATGTTCTGTCCTGTCCCTGCAACCTGACCAACTGAATTGTAGCCACCCTCCACAAACCATCATTAGGCATCCAGTTGATGGAATTCTCAGTAGAAATTGAGTTGGGCACTCAAATTTATTTATGTGTTTATTTTTACCTGTATTCTCTACCAATAACTAGAGACTAAATCTAGGGTCAGATATTATGGCATTTAGGAAAACAACTTTTACTCAAGCACAAAGAAAAGCACATACATTTTTACAATCATCTACTTCATCAGGGTTAATAAAAAATTTAAGAAAGAAATGTAATCTGCATCTTAAGTTTACCAGTACTTTAATAGTTTTCTTACAAATTAATATATTTTGCAATATTTCCAGAAAATCACTGTGGGAGAATAATATAATATACTTAGGTTATTATTTCCTGACCTTTTCTTAAATGGCTTTATGTATACTGTTCCCCAGAACTGTTCTCTGTATTTTCATTTAACCTGTAATTGTGCTTTCTGGTATTTTCTGACTCTATCTTCTAAGCCACCTTAAATCCTTTCTGGAAAAAAGGGAAGGAATAATATGTTGTTCCTACTAAATCAGGAGAAAATAAAAATATCTCAGAGAAGCTGTGATTATGCTAAGGGCTGTATAACTGGACTGAATTTGAGAAGGTAAAATTAATTCATAATATCTGGGTTTTTTTTATTTTCTTTTGGTGTTTATGAATGTACTCGTAAGAACTTTAACTTTGGGGGAAAATGCCTGATTTGCTATCTTCAGTTTTCTAATATAGTCTCTTGGGAATTAAGAAGTCTGTTAAGGGGCTGGCCGGTTAGCTCAGTTGGTTAGTGCACAATATTGATAACACCATGATCTAGGGTTTGGACCCCCGAACTGGCCAGCCACTGGAAAAAAAAAAAAAATTAGTCTGTTAAGTATGTTTTCATAGTTCATATTCCCGTTTCATAG